TTTGGTGAAACATACCTGATGTTAGCATTATCGTGCTCGTCACTGGGTTTCACAAGATGGGAATGTGAGCTAGTTTGGCCAGGAATCGCGGTCGTTAGGGCTGGCCGATGATGGTTAGGCCATTCATGAGTTCTCTAAGTTGTCGTATCTACATGGACATGACTTGGTGCCGGGTCGGTCAGAGAAAGAAGTGATAATTTCACTTTTGTTCGGCAGACTTTCTTGTTCCCGGTTGCATTTCTACAACTCGCACACTTCCGGCCCTCTTGAAGGGGTGCCAGAATCGCTGAATGCCAACTCCAGTTTTGGCTCGTGTAAGTGCTGCTCAGTGTGTAGATTGGAGTGTAACTGTCGTGATTTTGTTGTGTTGCCATGGTCAGTTGAAAGTGAACGCCAGGTAGAAGATAACTCTGTTCCTGATCTGACAGAGACAAGGGATTTATCACCAGATCAACTGCAATTGCTGCGAGATAATCTGTGTGATTTTCGTGTGTGTTTGTTGGAGGAGATTGTTACCTCGGTGTTTGGACAACGAGACTTGTTGATTGGGTTTTCTCATGAAAATATTGACTCAATTGTGAATTCTGCATGTTTCCTTATGTGCCCAGAAGATGTTGTCGGCTTAGGTTTATGGAGACATGAACTGGCAGTGGATGTAATGGAGCTGATAGAAGAGATTGAAAGTCTGTAGAATAAGTATGTGTCATTACTTCCATGTGTAAAGATATTTCTTTACAAAAATGACCCCAGTTCTCCAGAAGTAAAAATTTCAGTGATTATGCATGTAGATATCGAATTAATTAACCTAGTATAAAAACCTAGCGACACGGGTCATTAAACGTAAGCAGATCACGTCATAGGTTATTTTAGTAACAGCCAAGGTAACAAGCGAAGGACGCCACCCAGCCATCCCGAGAAACTGAGTCACTGGAACACGAGTAAAAGTTATCACCCACGACGGCAGAGTGACACTTTAGCAATATGTACTGCATTTGTCACTGTACTTGGCCACTGTTTGTTAAGCCCACAATGTTTAACAAGCAGAGTAAAATCCTCAAATTCAATCTGTACATAAACACAACTAGATGTCTAAAGAGTAGTGAATTTTTATTTTAACATGGTAACGTGATTATATGGTGATAAGCAAATATTTAAGTGCATATGAATATCAGTGACAAATAATAAATTTTAACACTTGTTATGTACAACACAGACTTGTTCGTTCTTCCCTCGCATTCTCTCTCTCTCTCTCTCTCAGCCAGAACAGTGGCAAATATTTAATTGCATAACAAGATATGAATATCAGTGACAAATAATAAATTTTAACACTTGTTATGTACAACACAGACTTGTTCGTTCTTTTCTCGCATTCTCTCTCTCTCAGCCAGAACAGTGGCAAATATTTAATTGCATAACAAGATATGAATATCAGTGACAAATAAAAAAGTTTAACACCCGTTATGTACAACACAGACTTGTTCGTTCTTCCCTCTCTCTCTCTCTCTCTCTCTCTCTCTCTCTCTCTCTCTCTCTCTTATAGGCCCGCGTACAAGTTGCCGCTGGCTAGTAGAAACAGCCATTAGGAATGCGCGAACCAACTTAGTCGCGCTAATTCCGCGGCTATAAAACGTCTGTGGTAGGCCAATTAATGTCTCTTATCCGGAAGTGAATATGTCTTAAGTTTATATCAGCTACTGAAAATTTAACCTCTAACTATCGTGGCATGGTATACTTGCAGTATTTCTTGTAAACAAACATTCGATTTGCGAACTTCAAAACGGCCATTTCTGGCGGCGCTGCAGCAGCGCCAGTCAGCGGGAACTATGTATTCCGCACGTGAGGGCTGGGCGGTTGGGTTGGTTGTGGACAAAAACATTGTTGTTGTCAAGTAACAAATTAGCGCATCAAAAAGATTGTAATATTAGTTTTGTCATAAAAGATGAACAAATTACTATTATTATTTGTTACTTACAACAACATAGTTTTGTCCACACCAACACAACCCCGCCCACCCTTCCACGTGCGGAATACATATTTCCCGCTGACTGGCTGGAGTAAGTTGGTCCCGAGCATTCGTATGGCTGATGCTATTGCTATAGCCCAGCGGCACTGTGCGGCGGCTATAGTACAGAGCTATTCACACACAGTGATCTTGCGACTCTTTGCGCCAGGGGAGGGCGGCTCATCTCTTCTTTCTCTCTCTCTCTAGCATCACTCTCTTCCTCTCTTACCTCTCTGTCTCTCTCTCTCTTCTCTTTTCTCCGATCTTTCTCTCTCTCTCTCTCTCGTCTCTCTTCTCCTCTCTCTCTCTCCTCAGCACACCCACGAAGTCAACTACTCTCTCTCTCTCTTACCTCTCTCTCTCTCCTCTCGTAAGGACCCTCTCTCAGTCTCTCGTTCCGATCTCTCCGCGGCTCTCTCTCACTCTCTCCTTCGCTCTCTCCGTCTCTCTCCTCTCTCTCAATTCTTTCTTTCTCGAGGCGGTAGCGCTGGCGGAAAGGCTGTACGACTGGATTGTCCTATGCAGACGCGTCTGACTGACTATCAGACTTGATTGTCTGATGGTCTTTAGACCCTAGCAAGACGTTTCGTGGCACTAGCAGGCGGTAACTTTTTTATATAGACTTCACATAAATGTTTATCTATCAGATACTGTTCATTCGGGTGGACTCCGGGCAGCCTGTTTATCTGATGTTAACCGGGTTTCCCAGCAGCGGCCAGCGATGGTAGAAAATTATGAAACAATTGCTCTAAAAAGTGCTTGTCCAGCAGACACTGCTACCACCTGCAGATCTACTTGTCCTCCGTGAAATGGACAAGTAGAAGCAAACGGATAGGCCTTTATTTCAAACCTGCGGATGGTAATCTCAGGAGCCTTCTCGAAGAAAATGTTTTCGTTGGAATCGTTATGAAAGTTGCGCCACAGAATGGCGAGCGTACGTTGGTAGCTGAGCTTCCATCGTACGTAGTATATAAAGTACAACTATTTGCAAGACAGAATAGGTAAGCACTCGTCCATTTACAACGCTACACAGCTCAGGCTGGAATAGAGAGCTTGCCACATGTACCTAATTAACGCGGCAAAAAACAGGGTAACCATACTAATCACCACACATATGCTGGCAGTGGCCTACTTACACACTGACAGTACAGAATGCCCTAGAAATTATATACGTTTAGGAGGCATAAACCTTCTGCAAGCAAATTTAGCTTGGAAATTTACTGTGACATTGTAGCCGCCTCATATCAATAAGGCATGTATAGATTCCTCTGAGCAAACCCTAGCAGTCAAATTCTTCTAAACACAGTAGACAGTTAACAAATCCATGTTTACATCTCCCAGTTCTGCGTTGAGGGTCAAAAGGTTATCAAGCACACCTTACTGCTTCGCACGTCAGTGGAGATAGCAGATTTTCATGTCCTTTCAATAAAGCATAAAAATACTAGGTCCCTGAAACTAAAAAAAAAAAGTTTTCGCCAGTCCGTCCGTCACACCATGTCCTCAGAACATGTTCTACATCTGCCCTGTGGCTCGGCCATTGACGGTTGACTGACGCGAGTGACTGTGACCTCCATTTGCGGCAGCAGTGATCGGCTTTTCGCTACCATCGATGCTCATAATTACACCGACTATCACAGCCGTTTAGATTTGTGCCGCCAATTCTTGCATTTCCTCCCTATACCTTAAGTTTAAGGGGGAATGTTCCCCCTTCTTTTTACAACCTCTTGACTTTGATTTGACCCACAGCTTTCGAACAGGACATCCCAACTCGTTTTTCGGATTACCCTGCCACGTCCCGACTTCGAATCCGTACGTCGAGCTGTTTAGGATGAGTGAGTGCGAAGAGGTCAGTTTTAATTGAGGCTAACCATCGACAGTACATTATAGAACGTAAGAGTATATTATGCGAGAAGCTCACCATTATGCTACGTCTTGATAAATTATGATGTAATTTTTATGTGAAAATAATAAATAATATTAATATAAATTATATAATTTTTAAACAAATACGGTAGATG